TGTATATTATTTTTTTAAAAATGTACTTATGTAGTACATATGAATAAATCTGACATTACATTACACGAAGCTATAATTTTGACAGTTCATTAACATATATTAACAATCCGTTGGGTTAAGCCCATATCAAACTACGTATTAAAGATTGAAGATTGGAATTTAATTAATCAGGACAGAAAACTAAAATTTCTTAGTTCTGTTTAGTCAAATTTCAATTTTAATTGTTAATGCATGGTTTGATACGAGCTTTATATAAGCTTTATATAAGGCGTCTAATCAACATTTATAAGACATCTACAAGACGTCTAGTAGATGTGTCTAATAGAAACCATTTCGACGTCTACCGAGATGCAAAAATCAACTTATTTTAGATCTATCGAATAGACGTCAACTAGACATCTATTCGACTTTACGTTTCTCCCTGGGGAATGACAATACCGCGTCTCGAACTCTCAGCTGCCGTGCTGCTCGTGCGTCAAGCCCTCAAAATTCGCGAAGTGCTCGAACTACAAACCGCACCGATCCATCTCTGGACCGATTCGACGGTCGCTCTTACGTGGATCAAAAGTCATCCATCCCGGTGGAAAGACTTCGTACGGAATCGCGTCTCTTTTATTCAAGAGCTCTCAAACTCTAGATGGCATCACGTCTCCGGGAAGGAGAATCCCGCCGATCTCGCATCACGAGGCGTGACTCCTCAACGTCTTCAACAAGAAGAACTCTGGTGGGCCGGCTCTCATTGGCTTCAAAAGCATTCGACATCTTGGCCGTCTTCAACTCCGATTCTCGAGTCTACGGATAACCTCGAAGAACGGTCTCCGCAGTGTACAACCGCAATTGAAATCATGAACATAATCTCTCGATGCTCGATCGATATTCATCATTGACGACCCTCCTCAGAATTACCGCATGGGTCCAGCGTGCTCTTCAACTCTTCCGGAAATCTGTCGCATCACGCTCATCTCTCGAGCCTCTCACTGTCGAAGAGCTAGAATCAGCTCTAATGCTGTGGGTCAAACTCACGCAAAAAATTTACTTCTCAGCCGAAATCAAAACCTTGAAGAGCCAACGATCACTCTCAACCTCGAGCTCTCTCCATCGTCTAACGCCATTCCTCGACAACGATGGACTTTTGCGTTTACGCGGACGTTTACTCCGGTCACAACTCAATCCAGCAGAAAAACATCCGCTGATTCTACCTCGAGAATGTCGATTATCAATTCTCGTGATGGATCATCATCATCGAAAGACTCTACATGGCGGACCGCAATTGACGTTATCATCGATTCGTCAAAAGTTCTGGATCATCGGAGGTCGCGTTCCTGTTAGAGCTTTCATCCACAAGTGCGTAATCTGTGCTCGTCATCGTGCTACTACTGGTCAACAAGCTGTCGGACAGCTCCCAGCATCACGTGTCGTCCCGTGCCGACCGTTCTTAAACTCTGGAGTCGATTATGCCGGCCCATTTACTCTCAAAACTTTTCGCGGACGAGGCTGCAAAACGTACAAGGGATATTTCGTCATTTTCGTTTGTTTCAGCTCGTCTGCGATACATCTAGAAGTCGCTACAGACTATTCTACAGACGGTTTTCTGGCGGCATTCAGGCGATTCACCGGACGACGAGGCATCTGCTCTACTCTGACTAGTGATTGCGGCACGAACTTGATCGGTGCCGACGCAGAACTCAAACGAATGTTCACGGCCTCTTCTCGCGAGTGGGCTCACATCGCTAACGTTCTCGCCAATGACGGAGTGAGGTGGAAATTCAATCCACCCTCCGCCCCCCATTTTGGAGGAAAGTGGGAAGCTGGGGTAAAATCCGTAAAATTTCACTTGCGGCGCGTTCTCGGCGACGCCCTCCTCACCTACGAGGAACTTACAACGCTCTTGGTGCAAATCGAGGCGATTCTGAATTCGCGCCCGCTAACTGCTCTCTCAGATGATCCGTCGGACCCTACCGCCCTAACGCCTGGACACTTTCTCGTCGGCTCAACTCTCGCCACCGTGCCGGAACCCTCACTCCAAGAAATGCCTCAAAATCGGTTGTCGCGTTGGCAACTATTGCAACGCATGAAGGAATCATTCTGGCAACGATGGTCGTCAGAATATCTGCAACAGCTACAGACTACCTTGAAACAATATCGACCTCAAGATGCCTTTCAGAAAGGCGCGCTCGTTCTAATCAAGGACGAACGGTTCCCTCCATCTAAGTGGCCTCTAGCACACATTACTGACGTGCACCCTGGAGTCGACGGACTTATTCGAGTCGCCACAGTGAAGACAGCTACCTCCAGTTTCCAGAGACCAATAGTGAAATTGTGTTTGCTGCCGATCGAAAATCAATAAATAAAAAAAAGGGGAGGGGGACTTTACGCTACCCGCTCTCATATATTATCTCGATATTTCGTCTACTACGAGTAGACAAGGCGGGCGGAATGTTTCGACAAAATAATGTAATAAAATTATAGTTAATAATATTCTTTGTTAAATTTTCTTAAATTCATCGAGAACGGTCGTTGTGAAAAGTCGAATCACTAGCAAGCATTATTTGTAAATGTTATCGCGCTAAATTCTATAAACACCGTTCTCCGCGTACTTATTTGCGCGCTTTTTTTGTTGTTTTCGCGCCGACTTCGAGTTCGCATTACAAAGGACTCATATGTCCTCTATATTTATATGTATACTCTCGCTTTATCTGTACTTTAGATATCATAAATCTATCGAAACTGTTCCCCCTCCTTATATCTGTTTGTCAAAATTCACGGCTTGCCGTCTGCAGACGGCAGCAGTCGTCTCTCAGCGTTCAAAAGAAATAAATCGATTTACACGACAAGTTCTCCTCTAATCACCTTCCTATCTCGAGATATTTCGACGTCGCCAGTGCCGGAATCTCGCGTATCTCTCAACATATTTCTACATCTTAAAATCAAGAATTTTGAAATGCAGTATTGAATTTACTTCAGTAGTATTATGACCATTTTTTGTATTACGCAGTTCTTGGAATGTCATCTGGTTAATGCATGTACTTAATAAATATATTCTTTATACTATAATTTTGTTTTAAATACTTTTTTAACTTACATATTGTCCAATATTTTGTTGGAGAATAAAGATGTAATAAAGTATTCTTTGGTATAATTTATGTGACGTATGTACCCTATCATTAAAGTATATTTTCCAGGTGGTAAAGATGTTTGCAATTTTGGAGTCTTGGTAAAATCAATCATAAACGAGTTTAGTTCATTAATAAATGAATATTTTGGAACATAAATTTTTTCACTAAGACGGTTGTTATACAAAACAATTTTAAATATAGTGAAAGCTACTGGATGCATAGATATATTTTCTGTTTGACGATTAAGACGTATTATTATATTACATTCACCAATAATCTTATTTAATTCGTAGTTAAATCTTATTTTGACATCATAATGCAGTGGTGTTATATAATCCGGTAAATGATAATGAACTGCAGTATCATTTTCGGGATCAATAGCAGTGCAAAATGCTATAGTAGCGATTAACATTATTTCGTCATTTGTTAAAAGCTTTCGGAGTTTCATATTTATTTTTCTTTATATAAAAAATATTTCTGGAAGAAATGTTTGTTGCAATGAAACATATACATTTACAACACATAGTTCTTAATTTTTATGTAACACAAAAGGCATATAATAACGATTACAGTAATATACTCTACAAAAATATAAAAAAATCATAGTGCATTGAAAGAAAAGTGTATGATATTTTGACTATAATTGCATGGTACTACAATTATAATCACAAGTCTAAGTTTTATAGAAATTGTTAGTATAATGTTAGCAATAATAGTTTTTTACATATAGTATTGCCAATCATATAGCCAATTATATAATTATTATGTAATTATTATAGAACAATTAGAAAAATATATGACGCCAACAAACACCATTGATTATGGTTACTGCTATTGTTTCTTCCTTTCAGTGTAAGATAAAGTGATAAAGCATGACAAAAGAACACCTTTCGCTTAAATTCGCTATGTTCACTTAATACTGCAGTAAATAATTGATTTTAAAATTATTGTTTAACCAATCATAGACATCTGAAATTATTTTTCGTAAAATCAAGTTTGCTTCAAATGATTTATAATTTGCGAAATAATACAATTTATAATATTATTGATTGAAAACGTTATTAAAAATTGTAAAGAGAATACCGTGTTATAAGAGCACTGCCACAATTTTTGTATCGTATGATACGAACCCATGTGCGACGTGAACTGGCCTCGGAATCACGCCAGATCCGAGGGAGCACGCCCAATGGAAATCGGTAGCTTGCGGTATCGGCAATAAATGCTCGATTCGGTAACTTACGGTATCGGAAGCAGATGCTCGATTCGGTAACTCGCGGTACTCCACGCTCGTCGGGAGCAAGGTAACTCGCGAAATCGGCAATAACTGCACGATTCGGTAACTCGCGGTACTCCACGCTCGTCGGGAGCAAGGTAACTCGCGAAATCGGCAATAACTGCACGATTCGGTAACTCGCGGTACTCCACAAAATTCGGAGCAAGGTAACTCACGCGATATCGGTAACCGGAAATGGGCGCCAGGTGCGAATAATCGCACCGGCGGTATCGGT